GGTGTAAACAACCCCTACCTAGCTGCACGCTATCGTAGCTGCTAGCTACGCTAGTATGGTATATAACGATCTGGCTAGCCTTATAGTTGATGAAAAACATTGCAAATTTAAACATTTAGAAATCCCTCAACTGATAAAGTAGAAAACCCGTACCAAGTTTGAAGCTGGTACCTCCAGTGGTTCCAAAGTTATATAAAAAATACATAAACACCGACAGAGGGAAAACGAAGCGACATAGGGCATATGTTTATGCGAAATTTTTTGTTTGTTTTGACTTAAGGAACATGAACATGACTACGGAGTTTCCGGAGAGATTTTCATATAACACGGTCTAAAGCTTAGGATGGATACTAGGAACACAATATTGAAGTTTCAACTTAATTTTAGAGGCCTGCGATAAAGTTTAGAAACAAATCTAAGCTTTCAATACGAAAAGTTCCAAATTGCGTAGATACATATTAATGAAAATCAATCTACAGCAATAAATAAATGAACATATTATCGATTTTACAAACCCTCCCACCGTCAAACCCGTCTAACTGGATGGTTCGCAAACACATTGAAATATACAGTATATGTTACATAATATGTAGTCTATTATCAAAACTATAATTGTTTACGATACTTATAGTTCTCATAGAAACGTAAACAAACATACATGCTTACGTATAATTTGTAATGTGTTTTGACCCTAAGACGAAAAAGCGCAGCGGTCTCTACGCCTAAAATTCATCCTGCAAGAAATTCAGCTGAACATAAATAAGTGATATAAATGCTATAGACTATTTCACGTTAGTTACAAGCTTCATTTCGGCGCACAATGAGTTAAAAATCAACATTATTATACTGTAACGTTGTACACATTCTTAAGCAGTGCCTGTATACGCTGTGACGCAAAACAGTAGCTGTATCTATATCACATAACTCGGCTTGAAGGCGCACTCGTGTACAACTCTATTCACCTACATCTTATTAGTATACGATAACTATTTAGATCTAACAGTTTTAAAACTTGTTTATTTAATTGGTTAATATATTTACCGTCACACATTTGTTAGTTTAGTTTGGACGTAGCAAATTTTACAGTTTACCACACAATCAACTTTTTTCACAGCATGGTTTATCAAAATGCATCACTACATAAAGAGCAATGACATTAACTTAACCCTGCTCATATTCATGCTGCACTTTATGTTTGAGGAGTTTGTTACTTGACAGGTGTGCCGTGTCAGATATCAACCGTCATTCCCCCCCCCCTCCCCCATACGTGACACCCCCTCCCACAACCCCTGTGTGTAAACCTCTAACACCCTGTTATTACTGTAAACTGTAAACATCTCTACCATATTCTTCATCCACCAAAAGATATCTCATTTTCTCCATTCAGTAAATTTGTGTTTTAACCCGATGAAGTTAATAAATATAAATCTGGGTAGGTGAGTGGTTACAATGCTTATCTTCAATTTTGAGAGTCACTAGATCTATCCGAAGTGGTTTCAATTCTGGACCCAGATACCATCTGTAATTGGGGGAATTAATTAACAAAGGTCGACATTAGATAGTTGTTAAAAGACCAGTGTTTGGACCTTTCTCTTATAAAAACGTTAAAAACATCAAAGACGCATAAAAGTACAAATAAAATTAAAAATAAAATGTCTGCATTCGCGAGTGTCTGTCATTATTACAAGTGTTTCAAACTGGCTCAAGACAACACTAATATCCGAACAAACCTCAACAACAAAAAACGAAATCACAGAAATACAAATTACTTTGTTACATTGTTAGAGAAGTTAGACAAAAGATTTATTTTTCGACTAGTTAAATGTAAAAAGATAGCAACGGACTTTTATGTAGTAATTATGTCAACGTATTTATGTAAAGATTCAATGTTACGTTGAGATAGATTTACTTTCAAAATAATGTATGTGTATTTAATAGACTTCGTTTTACGACAGTACGCCAGTGCTTTATCCCTTTGCCAAGTTTTAATCAATTATTACTTAATTGTAAATATTTTCCATTTACAAGCGTAGAATGAGTCAAAACATAAATAAAAAATAACCATAGATAGTTTACGTGTTTCTTCAAATGTTATTTAAATATATTTACTTTACTAATTATATAACTTTATTTATTTATTTATTGTGTAGACCTAACGACTGGTGGAAAATGTCTTAATACTCTCGTCCCAGCGTCTGGTAATAAATGAGGAATTCCCAAAAATGGTGCTGAACAAAAAACGGAAAACATTACTAATTACGGAAGAATAATGGTTTAATTCAGTGGAATTCGGCGGCCATTAGCTCATTGTTGAGTATTAATGTATCATTAGTGTGTGACGCGGCGGCCGTTAATGATACATTTAACACAAATGACTACAAATCGTACACTGACATTAGTTTAGTACACTGGAACAGTTCCAGGCTGCACTAGCCATTTCAATTAAACTGCCTAAACACCGGACATTATAATAAACATTTTGTTTCTTTAAAAACAAGCATAACAAATCCAATTTGTCATATAGTTCGTTTCCTAAAAGGATTTTAATGGTTATAGCTAAAAAAAAACATATAATAAACGAGTATTTGCAAAATTTAGCATTTTTACTGTACTACGGTTTTAAATCAAACTTAGGTATTTTGTATATGTCAGAATTCATTGTCCTACTTCTGGATATTGCTTTATATTAATTAAATTATTATTGTTACCACCAAACGCGTGCACGCAACGTGACGGTATCAAAATAAATGTTTAATGTAATGTGTTTTTCTACGTGTGTTCTGTGTTTTATGTTTTAAATTGATGACGAATCTAAGAAGAGAATAACCTGAGGATGTGGCAGTCGCCACGAAACATGTAGTTGTTTATCTACCAACACTAAACGGATATTGTAAGGTAACAATAATAATTTAATTTGTATATGTGTTCAATGTGCAAAAGGACAATATACATATACTTAAAATTGTGTTTTTAAAATTTGTAAATTTTTCATATTTGTATGTTATCAGTTTTATTTTGGATTGTATGGTTTTAAGATTTTATGCATATTTAGCAATTATTGATTTTCTTAATTTATTCAGGCATATTCTCAATAGCAAACGTTATTTACAATGAGGAATTGAAATATATGGATTATATGTAAGTGAATGGAATCTAATAAATATTAGCAGCAACAATAATGAATATATGAAGACCGATAATGTAATCAAGATAATGGGCTGGCAACTAAAAACCTAAAAACCCATTCCATATGCAATAAATTATACTTTCGTAGCATGCATAATTTATTTACAATACTTACATGAAACATATTACATCTTGTTAATAGCCTACTAACGTATAAGATATAAGAATAAGAATGAAGTAGCCATGTGATATTAAAATATCTGATTCCTTTCTGGAAGTTCTGTGTTCAAATACATATCATAGGCCTATGTATAGAAATGTATTTCATACCTAAACATCATTTAGGCCAAGCGTTGTAGCCGTAGCGTGATTACCACAACGAGGGAATTTATCGCTGCAAGATGGCAGCACTGTCTTGTTGGACACGCAGGTCTACCAACCGACTCATCTCTATGCCCTACTAAGGGGTTGTAATATATTAGGTAGAATAACAAGTTTATTTCATTGTATACGTTGGTAACGATCACTTTGTCTATTTACTATTTCCATGCGTAAAATTATCACTACATCTGTGTTTTACATTTTGTATCCTACAACCTGCAATAGATTGTGTGTCGAACAAACCAGTTCCCCGTAGAAAAAATCTTCAAGGGAATAAACGACCATAGCTCAAAAGTTGAAATCCGTTACGAGAAAAACTAACTCAGATGAATATCATAGCTAAAATAATAAGAACTAAAAAAAACTGCAATAAAAATGTTGAACCTAATATCGTATAGCAAAAAGGGTAACATAAAAATGTGACTATAGGCTACAAAGTACCGTACAAATAAGGTTTTTTATTGAGAAAGAGACTCATAGTTTTTGTGTTGTTGTAGAGAATGGAAAGACAAACATTACATTTGTAAAAATAAAAATAAACAGAGCTATTGTCTGTACACCAACAGACATTACTAATCATATTATAATAAAATTAACTTAAAGTTTTCAATAGGAAAATACGTCTACTTGGGATATTCAAAAATCAGTTTTTACAGATTATCTAAATATAACAGCCGCGTCAATGACCTATTTAGGACATGAAATAATAAATCATACCAAACAACACACGAAAAAGAGAAAAATCTCAACAGTATAACCCAACAAATACATTCCCAATCTAAAAACGAGCTGTGGAATACAGAGTTATCAAAGAGGGAAACGAAGTGTCCACGACAAAATTACAATAGCTGGCCAAAGACAAACACCACAGATAAGGTACACAATACGGACTCTGTGTGGTGAAGTGTCACAATACAACTGTTGTGATATCTAGCCATTGTTTAGAATGTGCATTGGAGCATGCCTTCGATTGTGGACTGTATCGAACTGAAAACTTGAATCTGACTTCGTTTTTGGGAGGTTACACTCTAAAGTAATTTATTAACTTACCTCTGTAAGTAGTTAATTTTTTCAGTAAAAATAAAACAAATAAATAAATAAATTTTGGATAAAATTTTTAATAACTGAAACATTAACTTTTGTTGCTTAAAATATGAGCTACGAGTAAGGTTTGGGTAAGTTGCAGACCTAACCCAGTGATGGGATTAGACACCGTAATGAAATATAGGCCTACACGAACTTTGGCTGTTTTGTCCAATTTCCTTTGAGCGTTTAAGTTTTCTTTCTTTTAGTAAACAAAAATATATTTATAATCTAGTTAACGTCTAATTGTTTTGGGGAAAGTATTAGGTTATTTAGCACAAAAAACCCCTAAAAATAACTACACAGCTTTAGTAGCAAAATGTTTGCCATCCTTTATGATGTAAGTAATATCGAATGTTACCCAACTGTATTAAATATAACCTCGCTGTTAAGATGGTTAATTTGCTTACCTTATGAGTGCAGGAGATTTAATTTCTCGTATTATCTGAAACCAAAAAACAAAATTAAACTCTACAAGCATTTTCTAAAAACTAATTTTATCAAATTACACCATGAATGGTATGGTTTATTGACTAGAACGAGCACTCCTCCTTTGTCCTTTATCCACAAATCGGATTTTAACTTGGCTGAAAATACTGTGACACGATAGTTCGTATCTCACCTTATTTGTAATCATTCTTATTTTAAAAATAAAAAGGGTAAGTCCAAGAACAGGACGACAACGGTCTATTTTAATAAACTTCCTCCTCTAAAAATCATGCGATCATTATTATTACAACAGGGACGAGTTTGAAGTTTGTTTGATATCGATATATCTAGTGAATCACATTTTACAATCACAAATTACAGTTATAAATTAGGCACTATTTATACTATTTCGTAATAATATAGGTTTCAGGGCTATAAAAGCTACTAAGGTTACTAGGTTGAATGTTTTTGGAAATTAAAAAATGAAAGTATAATATTTACTTTAAATCTGCAACTTTTTAATCGCTGCAGGACAACACACTAGAAGCGCTGCGGGATTCCCTGGACGATAAATTATAAAGCCAATTTGATCAAGTTTAAGGGTGCTTGTTACCCTACACGCGATGTATCTTGTTTTACGTAAATCGCGTTGAACATTCTGAGCGTGAAAACTTTGCTTGTAAAATAAATCGTGTTATGTAATATTGTGTTATTAATAGACTTAAAATATATCCCAAGGGGGGAGTTTGTTTAGACTTCATTGGGTTGTTTGCCATTAATTTCATCTTACGTTGGAGACTATTTACTTTTCTGGCACGAACAAGCCAAATTAAAAGTGAGGAAAGATGCCAACAATAGATTAGTTATCGTAAACTTTTCCGTTGAAGGAACCAAAACGCTGAATCACTCAGATTAATTAATTATTAAATTGGTCAACAACTGTGCAAATAATAGAGATTACAATTACATGAACTATTTTTATTTTCCCCTCATCATCTATTTAAAGTTGAGTTTGTCAAATGTTTGTCCCATTCAAGAAAATTTATACCTGCAAAAGGAATCAACGATCAAAATTGGTGAAAGATGCTACTATCCCCAGGAAACTTTAGCGGTACCAAATCATATACAATAAAAATGCACAACAACCATTATTAAAGTAACTAGGTAAAACAAATATAATAACAACAAACAACAATCAATGTGTTAAAAAACTAAATGCAATGAACCAGCTGTCACTACAGAATCTACCACCTGTTATAGTATGGTTTTAACGTAAGAAATTTTAAAGGATTATGTACATTATGTAGATGTTTTCAGTTTCAGTAATCGTCCTGCTTAGTTATTTTACTATTGAAACATTAACACCAAATACAAATGTAGGCACTTATTTTACGTCAAATTATTGCATTTTGGTTAACAAAGCATACACATCTATATCCCTGTAGCCAATCTATTTTAAGTAGAATAAGCCACTCATTGAATGCACTGCTTCTACAATTAGTTTTTATGAAGAATTAGGAATTATCTGATAAGTAGCCGTGCTGCTGACTACGAACAGATGTTTCTCTGACCAGGATCTATTATTATAGATACAAACTGTTACTATGGCATGGTAAAAAGTAATTCATCTTCAAACCTTACTTTGAAAAGATCACATTATTACTTCTCTTACTCAATCAAATAAATAGTACTTATACTTTAACTTTTATACTTTCTTATGAAAGTATATTTCGTACCTAGGGCCGAAAATGAGGTTTTGCCAGCTCGAGATAGTTTCTAGACGAAGTCGAGAACTTAAATCGATCGAGAGCTGCAAAACCATTTCGGTCCGTGGTACGAACGCTATTTTTCACCACACTATACCACAATACACTATTCGCCACTATAATAATGCACACTGATAGTCAACACAACTACAACTTTAAGGTTATGTGAAGAAATAATTTCAGGAATCAGCAAAAATCAAAATAAATAGTTGCTAGGCAACGGTGACAATAACACAATTCTATTGCAATGCTATGGATTTTGATTGTGTATTTAAAATGCATTCATGTTTAAGTAAGTAAGCGGACAGCTGATTTTGCGGCCCCGGGCTGTAAAAACCAGCTCGGTCCCCAAATTACGATGACAGCTGGCATCGCCAGCAAAACGTAACTAGTAGCCACCAATTAACGCATTTAATACAGCCAAAAACATCATAGTGTGGTGAAAAATCTATAGTTTCATTCAAATTTCTACATTAAAAAACTTCTCAAAACAATGATATTTTAACACCTGAACACCTTCATCAGCAGAGAGCTGCTAACAATACAGTATGTCTTTATCTAGGTTTATAGGTTTACTACTTCGCATGACACCAATAATGAAATTTACATTATACAGACTTGATGTGTAACTAACACGCACACAGTATTCAACGCAGTCCTCCTTGCCTCAGTCTCTAGTTGATGAGTATTTAAACACAATATCTTTCTCTGTCCATTTTTGTCAAGGAAGCTGTTGTTATTGGTACTGTAGAGTTATTAAACCCTCTTCCAAATATAATTAACATATAGTTCAAGGTAATGACACCTTGAATACATGTCTTCAACCCTACAACATTAGACTGTACAACGGTGTAACTTATATTGCATAACATCAGTTAGCCTTTATAGAATAGCATTGTTGTGTGTATCATTATTAAAAATGAGGAGTACGTAGATTTTCCCTGAAAATTAATTAATTTAAGGGCTTAATTAATTGTTCACTTGACTTTTGTTACTTTTTCACCTACTAGTGCCACAAGCATTTCACCAAGCACCGTTTTCTAGAACTAAAATGATTAACAGCTGACCTAAATCTACAACCTTCAAACAAATGTCGAATGCAATACAATTATAACTAAATTATCGAAGCGCCAGAGTGTATTTTGCAAATCTCAGTTAAATTAGTAGCTATAACATATTATTATTGTATTATATTGACTAACACAGTCGGATTGAGTCATCGAAGGTAATTTTTTTAGATAACTATGAACTTTGAATACTGAATTAGATAATAATTTGGTATACAACTTTAGCCAGTTTCTTGGTCAAAGAACACACTGTTTGATGTTTTGAACAAATTTTCTTTATACTGTAGCTAATTATTGTTAAATAGGCCCATTGGTTTGGATGAAAAGTACGAATTTGGCATTTATATGAAACCAACATACTACTTAACTAACTTAAATCATCCTAAAGAAATATCCTGAAATTCAGTCATCATGCAATACAAGCGACAACATACAAACTCAAAAGTTAAGTAGTCAGTGTAGTAAAACGTGCTATTGCTGTTTTAACGACAAATTTTACTATTAAAGGTAGAAGTGACAGAAAGTACGCGTTTTATAAATTCTAAAAACTGTTTAAATGCAATGCAAAAATATATTACTACACATTAATACACAATAAGTAGCATTATTGACTAGAATAATATACAAAAATTATACCATACACAATATATATCACAGCAAATTATAATATAGCAAAACAAAGACCTACTTAGTATTCATTTCAGCTAAGGTTTAAAACTGAAATGTACAATATTTTATTATAAAAGTTGTCATTTTATACCAAAGTGTTTTACTGTGAGACATAAATGTAAACCTGGATAAAAACGCACGGCTGTCCACAACAAGACGGTTTATGAGAATACAACAATAAAAAATGTGTAGAGAGGAGTCTTAAGTCCTCAACAAGGAAACTGTTTATTCATCTTGCTTTGCTGTGTAAGGTCATGAATTTTTAATGACTACATGCATATTTTTCACTTATTCTTTTATGATTATAACACTTGGTGGATAATACTCGTTTAATACTTAAACTACCAATACTGGAAACTACATACTGCATGTTTGTGGGATAATATTGCTTGTAACTACTGTTACAAGCAAGATATTCAGGTTTTTATCCAGCTTACAATCTGGATAAAAATGAACAGGACAAAAAAGTTGAAAAATGTAACCTGAATTCAATTGCGGAAGGTAAGCCAACCACAAGATTTTCAGGTATAAATTCAAATTATACTTTTATTATAAATGCTAATGTTTGAGCTCTGTAGAAGAATTTAGTGTCAAGCTGCATGGAGTGTTTCCATTATTTTTTCACCAAACCGTATTGTTTAGTTGTACTTTCATTTGAAGACAGTTTAAAGGTATTCTCTGTGCCTAAATGGGGGATTGTGCAAATAGAAATATTTTTATGCTCATTTTCAGGAACAGTTGTATGGAATTTATTAATTACTAATAGACCATGAAGACCTTATGGATAAATATGGAAGTACCCTATAATACTCGATATTTCAAAATAGATAGAAACATCACAATATAGTGAAAGATAAAAGAAAAATTGAAGGAGCTCTCTTAGTGTGATTTCCTATTAAAATTAAACTCTTTCTCTAGTTTTTCACCCTATGATATTTTATACGGAAATACAACTTTACAAAAAAGTTACCTTTTGCTTTTGGCGAAGTGCATACTCACTTGAAATAAGTTCTTTCTTCTTCTTTAACATGAGAGCGGAATAAATTCTTTAACATGATAATTTAATAAATACTTTACAGCAATGGATCTACAGTCAATGCTTCGACCAAGCTACTCGTTTGTATTGTTAAAAGTACTTGTTACTTCCTAACAAAACAATAGTGCATGCATATCCCGGTAACCAGATATTAGTGTGCAAGTAAACTCATCCTTGTCGTCAAACGAATCATTATTTAAGCACGGCAGTGGTAAAAGAGAGTTTTACTGTCTTTCATTTCCTTGAACGCAGAAATTTCCTGTCCTAAAAAGCTTTTGCTTGAAACCAATTTATCTTTTACAGCCATTTTTTGAAAAATGAGTCGGTGAAAGGAAAAAAGTGGTTTAGGTAATTATTTCCTAATTTTAGGGAATAAATCTCTGTAAATTATCAACCACGTAGTCATTAAAATCTACAGTAAATTTATTTTTAGATACAAATTCTTGTGAAATAAGTTGATATATTTAAATGTGTGGTA